TCCATCATTAACACTCTCTGTGCCAATGACAAAATATTACAGCAATCAGTGTTTTTACATTGTGGATTAGTGTTAAAAGTTGAACTTTCTGCTTTTTATTTTGATATAGAGTGCTTATCAAATTTATTAGACCACCAAAGTTTATGCTACAGCTGTCCTGAATTAGTATTGGTGATTACCAAAATAATTTCTTTATGTTTCAGTAATGGTTAATCCACCTGTATGCACAGGCTCTAAACTGTAACCCTGCTCACTCGGTTTAAAAGTAACATGATTAGTGGAAGGTGAAACAATTGTGGTTCATTTATTCCTGTTTACTGTATGAAACAGAGGAACAGGTTAACATGTTAATGTGAAGACATTATTACACACGCTGCCCATAACTCATGTATGGTAACGTCGTTCCTCTCAGGATGTTTTTGCACTGGACGCTGACTGTGCAGACCAGTTCACTTCATTTATCTTTTGATATGAAGCCCTGCTTTACATGTGCATCTCATGCCTGAGCTGATGTCCTTCTGCTTGAAAGTAGACAGCTGGCAAATGTACTGTGACATTTCATTTTTAAACCTTTCACAAACAACGGGCTGTTTGACATTAAATTAATACCATTTGTTGGAATTTCAACAGCATGTGCGCTCTTTAGTTGAACTGATCGTTTTTTTATTTGAAATGTTTCACGGTGCAGAAGAGTATTATTTATCTAAAGACCGTAAATATTTAGCTGTTTTTTCTGGTTTGAGTTTTCATTTCACTGGTGTAAACTTTCCCGGTAAACATCTTGACATTAAGTAACTGTCGGCTGACCGTCTCTCGTCAATATTTAATCTTGGTGGAAAAACGGCAGCGTTGGCCTCTGAGATATATGTCTGCCTTCAACATCGTCTGGAGTAAGAGAGTCAGAAAGAAATTAATCCACAGAAACATAAAGATCAGTGGAAGAAAGCCAAATTAAAAATATTTGAGCCCATGAGCATGACAGGGGCCCAGTCCTCAGCCCTCAACAGATGACACACTGACACTGCAACACAAGTCTATAATCTTGACATCAGGAGCCATGGGTGTGGTTCACTATGCTAGAAATGAGACAGAACTGACATTTGGATATGTAAAAGAACCTTCTCAAGGCTCTAGTAATACTAGTCTGTGTACACGGAGAGACCTTTGTGTGGACATCTGGTCCTTAGCAAAATTAGCTTTGTACTGAAATTTAATTTTGTATTAATGTATTAAAAATAAATTAAAATAAAAAAATAAATCTTTGTAAAAAGACAGCTTTGGTGTACCACTATAGTGCGTGCACTTTGCAGTGTTTTGCCATCATACTGCCACCAGTTTTTACCCTCAAGATAACATTGCTGTCTCAACCATGTTTACTGGGTTTCTGATGAGACTGTCTGCAGTCTGTCTGCCTCCATTTCTTTCCATCACACAGCAGTCGCTCTCTTGTCTGTTTGCGTGTGTGTTTTTTACTGTCAAGCACACCCTTGCACACCTTCTATAATAACACCACCATTTCTAGCGTAGCTTTCCATAGCAGTTTGTCACAGTTTCTCTCTCTCCAAAGCTCCTTGTCATTTTCCGCCTGTCACATCGTTCTTCTCTGTCATATCCACTTTGTTTTGCTGGGATTGCATCAAATCTTCCTGTCACCTTGGAAGTTACTGACTCATACGAAAGTCTGAAGGTCTGAAATGTTTTGAATCGAGCAGACTTGTTACAATGCAGTCTTTGTGTGTCTTCTACCACTGCATTTCATGTTGCAGAGTTAAAGAACTTGTATAGCAGTGCAAGGTGCTTTGGATCCTAGATTTCTTCCAGTCACCTGTTGCATTAAAAATAATCTCATGCTGTGCAAAAGGCATGCTCTCTATAAAGACCACTGTTAAAAACAAAAATGTAGAACTTGACAGGACACCAACTGCAAACCCCATATAGTACTTGTATTGTGCATTATTTTTAATCCAATGACATTTCATCGCTGTGAGGCTTTCTCAGATTAAGCTCTGTGACATGCTTAAATGCCTAGAGCCAGACAGCATAAATAATCCTGTGGCAAGAGTTCCTGTGGAAAAATGTACAAGGACTTATTTGTGTCCTCTGTTTTACTGTTTGCGAGCATCAAAATGCCAGAAATGATTTAACTTTGCATTTGAACTGGAGAATTTGAGCTCTGCTGGTAGGTTCTATAATCTTGCTTGTAGTCCATCAGCATTGTGTTAAGGGGATTAGCTCCTTGGTTTTGTTTAGGCCTGTGGTTGTTTAGAGTAGCTCTGAGTAGAGCCAGTGGGAGGCATGAGTGTTTTAATAAGGCTGGTTATAAGCCATGCTGTTCCAGCAGCTAAAACTGTGTGAGAGACAAGTGGGTCTCTGGTTCCCATGAGAGAAAAGACAGAATAAAAAGAAATAATGAGAAGGGGTGAGAAAAGTCTTTTTTTTTTGTATGATTTAAGTATTTCAGCTTCATGTATGAAATAATGTGAGCTCTAATTCATTATGCAAAAGATTCATCATGCAAGTGTAATGAGCCACACCAGGATACAGCTTAGAGTTCATTTGCAGCTGCTCCAGCTTTCAAGACATCAAGAGAAAAACTTCCAATTCTAAACGTCATTAATTCAACATACAGATTCAACATACAGAACTGCAACAGACTTCTTTCCTGTGGACAGACGAGACCAAAGTAGAGATGTTTAGCCATAGTGCACAGCACCATTTTTGGCAAAAAATTAAACATAGCATTTGTGTGCAAAAAACTCATGGTGGTGGAGGGTGGATGATTTGGACCTGTTGTGCAGCTACAGCATGTGGGCACCTTGCAGTCACTGAATTGACTATGAGCTCCTCCCTACCAACGTATTCTAGAGTTAATGTGAGCCGATCTGTCCGAAAGCTAAAGCTCGACCCAATCTGGGCCGTACGACAGGACTGCACAGAGTCCTGTGAAAACTCCAATTCAAAGTTGTATATCGCATGTGTGTCTTCTCAGACATACAATATGCACTTATGGCTTGAATGGTTCGTGTAGTTGTATGAGTGTAAAGTGTAAATTCCAGATATCGTCTAATCCAGTTATCCAAAAGTCCACGTGACTAACATTTGATATTTTGAAACTCCTATTGTTCTTCTTCTGTAGCGAGAACTCGTCCACTCAGTTAAAGGTAAGGTTTGTATTTCACAAAGAGTCAAATGTCAAAATACCACAGTCTTCTGAACTATTTGCAATTAATTGATTCAAGCGAACTCCTCCTGCCTCTTCCTAGAAGACATTTAGCAAAGTGAAATTGCTTGCTTTGCAAGGCTGACCCAACACACCACTGCGGCCTGAATATTTCTGAAAATGATTCTTCTGGAGATTCCTGCTGTTGAATGAATAGAAACATATGTTAAGATTCAGTTAAATCCTTACATCTCTTACTGTTAGCTGCCATCAGACAGTAGCTACACAGATGAAGCGCCATTAAGCTACAGTAAAACCTACTGAAGGATGAGAAAGACGGAGGACACTGGAAGAAAGAGGAAGAAAATGATAAGATCCCACAGACATAGGAGGCATTTGAAAAGCAAAGACAGCAAATTAGCAAAGAGGGCGTGTATCCTATTGTTCACCATGCAGTTGTCTTTACGGTTAGCTTAGACTAACCCCAATAATCCCCTGCTGCCCCTTGGCATGTGTGTTACACAATATTATTCTCATACAAAGATGGTCATTCACACACATGCTTTTTTTTGCGAGCCGAGGAACATGTAGCCCGAAGCGACGGCTCTCTCCCAAAAAAAAAACAAGGAAAAGAGCTGTTAGTGAAATTTGCTAATGAAGCCTGATGAACATCTTCTTCTATTATACTCCTCTGCATCCACCCCTCAGCTTGCCTCAAACTTTCAGTTCCTTTCCTCCTGTTTCACTTGGTTCCTTTTTTTCCCTCCCTCTGAATACATTTGGGCTAATTGTCTGCTGCTGATTGAAGCTTTCACAGCCTTCTCAGTGCTGCTGCTGCTGCTGCTTAGAGTGGAAAAAAACGCTTGAGCATTTCGGTGCCGCTCCGCTGCTTAATATGCACCGATAGCAGAGGCAAAACCTTTTAAAAGAAACTTGTCTGACAGGAGAAGACTAGACTGTTAATTAGCAAAAGATATCCCTTTCTGAGTACACAGGAACTAATAGCCTCATGTCACAAAGTACCTTTAATGTTTGAAATATAAAATTGTCTATTTGGGTGTAGAAGAAGAAATGATGCTTTGTTATATTTAGGGAGGCGTTAAGCAAGTCTCTACATGCTTGAAGAACAGTATGTTGGTGTAAGATTCTGAAAACGTGTTACACATCACTGACAGTGTGCAGGGATGCAGTAGAAATACTTGTCAACTGTGTAACTTCTAGAGCTAATGAATCTTTTGTCTCTATGCTATCCTTGTGATGGACATGTGCAGTGTGTACCTTATCTCTTGCTCATTGTCAGTTAGAACAGGCTCCAACTTGTGTCCTGCTCCAAACGGATAAGCAGCAAGAAAAGAAACAGATGAAAATGGATGAGCAGTGATGGTTCACTCTTTGTTTTACTGGACTCCTCTGATTCTGTTTTGAGTTGAAGAGGAAGGGATTGGTTGAGGCAGGCATGCAGGCAGATGGACGATAGCTGTTATCTCTGAAAACACAGCCTGCCCATTCTTTATCTGCCATTCTTTATCCGCCATTTTTTCCCAATGTCTGGCTTCACAATCCCCCCTTGACACACGTACGCAAATACATTGATGCACATCCAGTCAAGTAAGTGGTGGGCAGATGCGTGAATTAAATCCTACTGTTAATAGGTTTCTTTTAGATTACATTTAGATGATGCTTTTCCATCCACGAACAATTCTACTTTAACCCCATTTTAAGTGGTCAGTGTAGGAGTTTATCAGGAAATCTAGGAAGTACGGTTCTGCACAAAAAACGGGATAAAGGTCTGTGTTTGTGAAGAGCTAAACTATTTTTTTTGTGTGTTTTTTCCTCTCAGGGCTCTGGTATTTATTGCCCATGGAGCTGGGGAACATTGTGGCCCATATGATGAGATGGCACAGAGACTGAAAGAACTCTCCTTGCTGGTATTTGCACACGACCACGGTGAGTGACAAACACGTAAATCACAGTGCTGTTTTGCATCCATGCATTTACACATATGGCTGCCTTCATTTTTTATCGGTAGTTTGCACGCAAAGCAACTGGCACAGAAAATCCATCACTAAGGAGAACTAAGGCTATCAGGGAGAATTAATTAGTTTTCATTTTCCCCTGTTGTTCCACGGCACTGCCTCTCTGCTTTGTTGTTTTAATGCCATGTCGAGGAAAACTTCACATTCAAGGCTGGCTGTAATAATGAAACTTGTGACTGGTGGTTTAGAAACATCCAACTGACCTCTTGGCAAAAGAAAAGAGCCCAGACAAGAATCAGACAAGACACAGCATGCTTTAGGCTTTGGGTTTCGGTTTAATGAAATAACATCTCTGTTAAAGATCACCCTTAATAGCACTCTCGAAATCTTTTCATTAAGGAAACTATGAAACTCTTGCGATAGATAGAACTGCACAGGCTTCAAATTCTCATGTTGACATCCACAGAAGGGCCGCTGTTAATGGAGTGAAAAGATGTATTTGGTACTTTAACGCATTCTATTCAATCAAAAATCATGAAGACTTTCCATAATTGTTCATCAGCTGAAAAGGCTGATTGAGTGGATTCATTAAAGTTTAAAAACTGGCTCATCATGGTACTAAACTGTGAACTTTTTGGGTAATATGTGGACTGTGAAATGACACACAGAAACTGGCTATGGCGGTGCTTTAAATTACACAGTAACCACCAATATTTTGAAATTTACCTGTTAAACATTATGCGCCTAAATGTTGTGCCTTTGAGAAAGACGCCTGTAATTGTGTAGATACACTGTGGGTTTGGGTTTACTGAGGTCAGTAAATCTTTGCTATAGACTGAGACATCGCCACATATACTTAGGAGCAGAAGTCATAAAAAGAACTTCAGGAATCACTCACGTAGTGACTTGGTCGGGGGAAGTGAAAGCTTTTGGGATTTCCCTGATCAACACCTTTGAACATTTACGGCACATTTCCACCCTTGTTTGAAACGATCAGTTGACAGACTACAGTGACCACCTTGGTTGTATTTCCTCAAAAACAAAAGAAAAAAAAAAGAAATGAACCCAGGTACACTTTGGGCCATGTCTTTCTCTCTGACATTGCTCCCAGTGTAGATACTTATATTTGAAGTCATAATTGCAGAGGTGGAAAGAGTACTAAAATATTTTACTCAAGTAAAAGTACTATTACTTTGCTGAAATTTTTCTCAAATACAAGTAAAATTACCTGTCTAAAAATTTACTCAAGTAAAAGTAAAAAGTAGCTCATTTAAAATGTACTCAGAGTAAAAGTTACAGTTACTTTTTTGTCAGCAGGAGGACAGCCTCTTCTGAGTAGTGCAAAAAAGACAATGGGATAAATTTCTAAGTAGTTGTTATTTAATTAAAAGAAAATCTTTACAAATTAAAGTGCAGTGGCAGTTAAACTGCAAGTCTATACATCAAAATGGATAATGGTCACCAAACCAACCAACTGTCAAAACCATATAATTCTTTTACATGAGAATGTGTTCTAAACTGTCAAATAAGAGAACAAGTACTGAATTGAGCTGTATAGCAGCTGCTATAAAAATGTGTTTTAATTTTTTAAACTTGGCCTTGCTCTGTTCATTTTGAGGAGCAATTCAGTTCAATTCAATTCAATAAAACTTTATTGATCCTGAAGGTTGACCCCGAAGGAAATTGGATTAAGGCTGCCGACCTTTGCCAGCACCATCTTACCCTTCTGACCATACGTACATTACACAAACATCACATGGGGAAGGCAGGTCAGAGAGGTATAACAATGGAAAATGCACAACATGAGGAAAGAGAAGGAGAAAAAAATAACCCAATAACAGCTTATGTCTTAACTTAATGTGATTAACTTGAGCACAGCCTTTTTGCTAAAATAAATGTACAAGTTTCATTTAACTTACCTCTACATGCTTGCGCAGGTTTGATGTGGAATTTTTAAAAGCTGCTAACTCGGTCTCTCTGGGCAAACACAGCGTACACTGCATAATATTTGTTTGTATAAGTGTCTTTCTGGCTGCTGTTACAACCAAATTTCCCCTTGTGGGACAATTAAAGGATTATTCGATTCTATTCTATTCTATAATAAAACTGTTGCCTTTCTTGCACTTGAAGTCGAAATGGTACCTTAAATACGGCCAGGGGTTCACATCGGTTTCTTCGAGTTCAGGTTCAGCAGAATTCGACGGGGTTTCTTTTTTCGCTGGATCCGTACCACCGATGTCAGACTCCATCTTTATCGTGACCCAACGCCAATTTGTTCTACTACCCATCATTCCCTGCAGTATTTCTGAAGCGCAATGTTGGGGGGGGGGGGGTGTTTGTTCTTTTAATTTACTCAGTAACGGGTGTGATTGAAAATGTAGCGAAGTACAACTCTTTTTAAAAAATATACTTAAGTAAAAGTAAAATTACCGACTTGAAAAATGACTTTAAAAAGTACAGATAAACAAAAAAAAAACTACTCAATTACAGTAACGCATGTAAATGTAATTCGTTACTTTCCACCTTTGCAAAGTTGTTTTATGCAAAGCCATCAGAAATCCATGCCAGCAACCAATAACCAAGCTCAGAGGAATGCAATTCAGATGGATTTGACAATCTGGGAGCAGTTCTCAAATGGAAGTGACTTCACCTTAAAAGCACTTGATATAGTTTATAAAGCATAATCTAGTCACTACATGTTCAATGTGTTCACTTAAAAAAGAAAATGTAAAATTCTTTCAAATGAAAGGTTTGGGTAGAAAGAGAAGGACACAGAGTGTTAGCTTTTTAGTCGATAGTAATTAGGTAATGGCTTGTTAGTCAGTAGTAATTAGATAAAGGGAAATGTCTGTCCCGATGCCTCCATCAACAAGGAACGATGTGCTCGTGGGCTAAATACAGCAGGGATGTTTAAATCCATGTGACTGTGCAGCAGTTGCCGTTGAACATCAGTCTGTGCACTCAATAAAACTCCATAATAACATAAAAAGAGTGAGAATGAGATGACAAAAAAGTCTCAGTGGCAGAAATGTGAAAATATTTACAGAGGTGAAGATCCTAATAAAGAGCTGACAGATAATAAATTGGAGTGAATGATAAGGACGGCTGAGGCTGCTCGCAGAGGAGCAGTTTGTTCAATGCCTCGCAGTAAAATGTCACACTGTTAAATGGAAAATACTGAACTGGAACAAGTCCCTGTAGACTCCAGTTTTTCATCTATTTCTTCCACATTTGCACACACACACATCGCCTTGGGCAGCTCTTGATAGAGTTCGCAGATGAGATGTTTCACTCTTTCTCCTTTTTTCTGTCTCTTGTGTTTTCTTTCTAATTATGGGCCGGTAAGGTTTTCATTCATTCACACCCTGCATTGACTGGTGTTTTTTTTTCTTTTTTCTATCTAGAACAGGCTGCATCTTTTTTTTTTACCAGTTAACAATATTCACAGATCAAGCTGCAGATGGCTGTTGTTTCTTTGAAAGTTACTGATTTACAGAATGCAAAAGCAAAATGCAAACTTCAAAAACCAGCTAGCTAGCAAATATTAATAATAACCTTTGTAGTTCTTATTATCTTTATATGCTTTATTATTAGTGAGTGTCGATTTTAACCACCTTCCTGATCTGGATCTTAGATCTCTGAGAGCGTGAGATCTGTTGATCTGCCATGCTCTGGGGGCTGTAACGCTTACTGGAAATCATTTATGTAAGGGGCATCTCTGAAGAAATGCTCTTCACGGCTTTTTGACTTTGCATCTCATAATGCAAATGCAGATACTATGATGGGCTGATAAAAAGGACCTCTCTCTCTCCTACATGAAAAGCTCAGTCGTAACCTGACTCATTCACTGCAAGAATCACAGGTTAGAACTTAAAGTCCACGATGCTGTAAACCATATTACTGAGGCAACAAGGCATTTTCAGATACTTATTGACTGGTTATGGCCACAGAGAGTCCAAAAGCCTGCTGTGTTTCTCAGTAAATGTGTGAGGGTTTGTCTCCTTCCCTGTCTGGAAATTTGCAGAGATGTGGGTAAAAAGAGCAGTAACACACCAGAGGTGGATCCCTCCACAGGAGAACAAAAAGTCATTGAAGCAAAGCAGTTTTCCATTTGTCTATACTTTGGTAAACAAGGGAAATAAATTCCCAGATTCCCTGAGCTCGACAAAAGTCCTGAAGTTCTGAATCTATTTAGGTACTGTTCATAATTATTCTGTAAATGCCGTGCTGACCTTCATTATTTTCACTCTCCTCTGATTCATAAATGTTTCTAAAATCTTTGTATGTAACATGCACATTTGTTTAAAGCAAAAAGGATGAGGAAATAGGACTTTTTTGATGGTGGGGGTTGGTTGTTTTCTTTTTACCTGTTGCAGCTTTTGTAATGAAATGTTTTGTTGGATCTGAGTCCTGGAATGTTCTCATGGCCTTATCATAACCATCAGTTGTCTAAAAGGTTAGGTGTGTGCGGGGATATGTGTGTTTTCCAGGAATACCTGTTATTACCTGTACTAACAGAAGATATGGATTTAATGGGGTGAGAAGCCATTGAAAGAATAGAGCGGTGGTGGTTTACTGTGCATTGATCTCAAGTTTTCACCACTCCATCACTGAAGCTGTGATTGGACATTGATTTGCACACAGTGATGATTGCTTTTGATGCTATTGATGGACAGGAAAGCACTGAGGGTGAAGACGTGCTCTTGTACAACCCAATTTCCAAAGAAGCTGGAATGATGAAAAACAAAAGGACAAAAAGACAAACTATCAGATGTTTTAAAAAAAAAGGAAATATTATTCTTTTTAGAAAAATTGGGTGACATGTTTGGACTTCTTGCAGGCCACTTTAGCACCTGGATTTTTCTTTTTTTTTTTACTATGAACCCATGCTGTGGTGATGTGGTTTGGCATTGTCTTACTAAATAAATAAACAAACCCTTTCCTGGAAAAGATGTTTTCTGTATTTCAGAGCTCGGATATATTGTATGTGTTTTGACATTCATGATAAGAGAGCAGCTGAGCTGTCAGGTGACCACCACCTGGTGGTGAGTTGGATCTTGTGGTGCAGAAGGATGCTGGGTAAGCCTGGCGTGCCAAAACGTTTAGTTTGAGGATGTGCTGCAAGCACATAGCAGAGGCCCCTACCCCAGAGATCTTCAACTCCCACCATCAGCAGAGATTCAACAGCATCCTGAGGGAGACTGTGGACATTGAGCCTGAATAGATCCACACCTCAGATGAGCTACAGCTGTGAGGGGGCATGTGCCTGCAGTGGTGGCCATTTCCGAATGAGATGCTGGACCCCAGCCATCAAGCTGAAAGAAAGAGTCCTGTCGACCTTGGTTGGTTGGAATTCGTAGAAGGCTGGAAGGTACCTGCAACTCAAGCCATGCGTGGCTTGTGCTAAGGAGGAGATTGAATATGATTTTCAGTCAGCCAAAGCGGAATCTGGTAAACTGTCCAACTACTCAGGAGGGTGGAGCTACTGACCTGAAATGAAGACATTGTCGGGCAGTGGCGCTCTAGAATCCAACTTATATGCCTTTCGTAGAGGATCAGGGACTGGAGTAGATGAGAAGCTCTTGATGCTGTGGGACTGTCTTAGATGACACACCTCTGAAATAGGACATGGAAGTTTGGGACAGTGCCTGTAAACACTTGTGTTCCAACTTGCTGGGGATTGCTCTGCCTACCTGGGATGGTTGCATGGGCCCTAGAGAGGAAAGATGGCAGAATGTTCACATACTGTTCAGCATTTATGGTTATGTATGTAAAAAACTACTCTTCTCATACCATAATGGATGCTTATATGTAGCCACTGAGTTCTAGTTTCATAGCCCTTTTCTTGCTTTGAGACTTCTCTGAATTCTTCTAATCCCATGTCATGTATTGGTTATGTAGATAATGAAACCATTATCTACATAACCATCCACCAATGCTCTGCAATTTTACAACAACAAAAAAGAAAGAAAAAAAGAAAAAAAAGAAACATCACAAACTTCTTAAATGTGGTAAACCCTTCCACATGTTTACTTGAAAACATCTTGAAATTCAAAATAAGCATACATTTTTTGAATGCGTCCCATCTTTTTTGGAGTGTTTTATAGGAAGCATGCATTTCTAAACACTGACACACTTTCAACATTACAGAGCCAACGAGAGAAGGTGTGAGATGCACATGTGAATGTTTATTAGCTAGTGTTATTGGGTTGGTGGTTACCATGGCAGCCAGCCTCACCTCTCAGTTATTGGTGCGGAAAGCCTGAGGACAGCACATATATATAATATATGGATGTGCACATACATATTCAGATATTTTCCCTCCTCTCCATCTGTCAAGCTCACTTCTATCATCTCTGTTTTCGTCTTTTCTTGCTTTCATCTTCTTGTTTGCCCCCTTTTACCTCCTCTTTTGTCTTGAACCATCATTTTTTTCACTTCAACTCTTCCCCCATACTTTTCCTCTACTAGTCCATTTTATTCTTACTCTCCCTGTTTTTTCTGTTTCCCTTTCCATCATTTCCTTTATTTTTCTTTACGTCTCTCATCACCAAAGCAGAAGGCTTCCCCTTGAGTTGAATTGTATGTGGATGCAGTCAGTCCTTAAAAAGTTTAAGGAATAAATGTAAAACATATTTTTATAGTATGCCTGTGATTTGCCTTTTATTCTCATGCAGTTACCCTTTCAACAGTTTTGTGTTTAATTCAACTTGTTGAACTGCTATAAGCTATAACTCTAGGCTTATAATTACCCTTGTATCATGCTACTTTGCCCTCTTTTCATAAAAAAAATGTGAAGTTTTCTTGTTTTTGAAGGTCTTAAATAATGTGTTAAACTTTCCTGATTCTTTCTTCCACAGTTGGCCATGGCCAGAGCGAAGGTGACAGGATGAACATTAAGGACTTTCAGATTTATATCAGAGACTCCCTTCAGCACATTGACCTGATGAAGTCTCGCCACCCTGACCTACCTGTATTTATTGTAGGCCACTCCATGGTAAGACACTTTCCATGAATGTGTGTCAGTTCCTGGAATAAACCATGCATGTCTTTGGAATTGTTTGCACAATGATGTCCTTGGCTTTTGTCTTGTTCTGTGTCCTGGGAGCAGTGTTGTCTTTTGATCAGGTTGGTTTTCCTGTTTTGTTTGGTGTTAAATTGCATAATGTGCCTGAGATCCTCATACAGTATGCTTGACACAAATAGAGCGAGAGAGCTGGCGAAAACCAATGTACAAGTCCCGCTCAAGCACATATTTGATGAGGCTTCCTGTGACATTTTGACACGTAAATGGGGAAAGTGTTCCTCGTCTAGTTGCATGGTTTACTGCTGCTCTGGACATGCAAGTCTAGATAAACTGGTTGTTGAATATCAGCAGAATCAGGCATATTTTAAGTAGCAGTGATTAAGTAATATATTAAGTAAAATACTTAGTAACTTGCTTCCTTTAATTATTAATTGACTTGCTAGGAGAACCGCTTACAGTTTTTCTGTTTAATGGTCAAACTTTACCTATCATCTAAAGTATAACAGACCAACAGTTCAGGGAAGGCTTGCGAAGTTCGCTGTTCTTGGTAAACCCCAGTTTACCTTTCACCTTTCACACAGTGCCACAGATTCACGAGAGCCTGCAGCTGCTACGGAAAACCTCCAACAGGGCAGTCGCAGGTTCAGTGACCTGCTCAAGGGCAAATGTGGCTGTATGACAGACACAGACAGAGAGTGTTCGCTTTCGTCAGTTTGCGTAGAAATCTTCTATTGACCTGCCTCATCATTGACTAGCTTATTTGTTATTATCCACTAATGAAACAGATTTACCTAGCAAAATGAAAGCATTACGGATTCCAGTATCATCTACATTACATCTGAATAGAAGCTAAAGCTAGCTGCTGTACAAGCAAGGAGCTGGTGCTAAGTAATGAGCTACTGGCTGCTGTATTTTACTTGCAGTCCTTCAGAATTATTCGTTGTTTTTTTTTTCCATTTTAAATACAGCCAACTAACTTTCAAAACCCTATCTTAAACTTAACAGACTGTTATGCTAGCTGCTTGTCATTCTCGAAGCTAGACATATTACCCCTTGACTTGTTCTTATATTGTACTTTTCTACTCTGAGTGGTCAAAAGACTCTTTGCTACAAGAAAATTCAGTGAAATGCAGTATTAGTTGTTCATTTAACTGAACCAATTAAGCTTAGACCACTTGTTTTCCTCAAAGCTTATCCAGCTAGGCTTGCATATCCGGGCTAGTGCTAATTGAAATGGCAGTTCATTACCTGTAGCTCACTCAGAGAAGCATAGAATCTTTAATTCTCACATAAATAGCTATGGCCAGTTAAGAATCGTTAATTGACTTCACAGTGGACTGTGGAGGGAGAGCTACAGGGTGTGAACTCCACACAGAAAGGCCAAAGCAGGAGGTTCACTGGGCAGTGCACCACAAAGTTGCTCTACTTTCTTAAACAACGCTGACACATGCAAAGAAAAATTCCTAAACTAAGAATTAAAGCTTCGCTTTAATCCCTTGTTGACCGTAACAGTTAAATTCAGCAGAAAAAGTTATGCTGGGTCTTCAGCTGGTTTAAACTTCAGTGCAGCGAACATGAAAAGAAAATTCAAATAGCCTTTACTGTGGCTCTGTGAATTCGGCAGACACAAAACTGAACCAGAATTCTCATTAAAAATAATTAGACAACGCCTGGAAAGCTTCAAGGCCAGCTTTGGAGCTATTTTTAACTGATTGGTTTATTCTGTTTTCACAGCCTCTCGTTGTTGTGCTCTGCGACCCAACTCTCAGCACAGCTAACAGATCACAAATGGTAGTGATGAGTTATATAATAAATGATTACTGTCAGTGTTTCTAGGTCGAGTCACTTTGTACTCCCGTGAACTTGTTTCGGTTAGATGAGCAAGTCGCTCCGATTCTGCATGCCAACATTTTTTATGCTTTCATATGTGAGGCTTTATGTTTCATAAGGAAACTGACATCACTCACTGAAGTCAAAATCTAAAACAATAAGTCCTTTGAGCATTGCGCTGTGCAAGTCAGAACGCTTCGAAACGAACCCAAGTATGCTTTCAAACATTTTTAGTGCACAGCTGCAGGTATCAAGCAGAGAATTGTGAGTTCATTGCAGAACTGTTTCGCCATGCCTTCCAGCAAAGCTCCACATGCTGGTGTATAAATACTGGCTCTTGAAGCCTGTTTTTGTGATTAGGCCCTTTAGTTCATTCAGACAATCACTAGCTAAGTTCAGGATATACTTTTTTGTATTATTTTCTGCTATAAAGATTTTAAGTGCTATGTTTTGCATCTAACTGTCCTCTATTAGAGATAACAGCTCCTTCTTCTTTGATGTCTTTCTTTTAAATAGGTCATATTTACTGTCGTCACTTGGGCCTTTAGTTGCTTCAAACAACATGCTGTTTAATTAATGGGTCCGCCTTGGTGAGCCATTTATGGCTCATGCGCTTCAGTGCAGTAGGACTGTATACAGACTGAGGCTGTGATGAAGGGATCTTAGAAGCACAGAAGTACATACTTTGTGTAAACTCCACTGTGGGATCCCAGGCTGAGGCAGAGTGCTTGTTTAGACAGCAGATTCTGTAAATATTATGAGACAGCTGAGCAAAGTCACAGCAAAACCTCTTTCTTTTCCAACTTCTTTCTCTATTTTTCATCATCCCTCACTTTCCTGCTTCTTTTGGACCATTCAGTGTGTCTCCTTTGGCCTTTTCTGTTGCTGGCTAAGGATTATACTTGTGTGTGTACACATGGACAGTTGTGGACACCCTAGATATTCTTCAAATCTGCCTGAGGGAAGCGTGTAAGTCTGTGCAGCAGGGAGCTTCTTGTTCCCCTTCTGGTGATGTAAATTAAATCACTCAGACTGAAGCAGACCCTACTTACTCATGGACATTGAAAATCATAAGACTCTTAAGTTATTGGTTAGACTCAGGTCCTTCTTCTTTTTTTTTTTTTTGGTACCACCTGTGATAGCAATGGAAATGAAATCGACTGGGATTTATGTAGCTTTTTCTCATCTGACTGACTACTCGAAGCACAGAGAGGCCCCAGCTGGAGATAAACCTGTTTTAACTTTCTCAAAGGCAGTTTTGAGTACCTGGGCTTGTGTCTGTCTATCTGCATTGATGTCTATTGACAGCAACAATGCAAGAAACTAAACAGCAGGGGTGTCAAATATAAAGCCCAGGGGCTAGGATTGGTCTGACAAAGACTCCAGTCCAGCTTACTGGACTATGACCTCAATTATGGTCAAACTACAGTTACTACTACAAATAATTATTATGTGGAAAACAATTAAATGACTGAAAAGTTCCTATTTTTTCACATTTTTTTTTACAATGGGTCCACAGTAACAAAAAAATATCTGAATATTTTCTGTTAATTGACAAAAACTTTCAGTTTTCTAATTACAGGGCAGTCTGGGCAATTAGCTTTTTCTCAATCTTTACACTTTTATGTCTTACAATTTAAGCCCAAAGAGTGATGCTGACAGAATAATTTCATTTACAACAACAGCATTTCAATGTTGTGTAGAAAAATGACATACTGTTATAATTGCTCTTCTTTTTCTTATATTAAGAAATCACCAGGATTAAAAATGCAGGTAAACTTCTGCACAGTGAAAGACAGAAAGGGTCCGGCCCGCTTAAGATTAAAGTGAGCTGTATGTGGCGCACGATGTAAAATGAGTTAGACATCCCTGTCGAACAGTCATGAAACTTCACAAGCGTAACTGAGACTTAACTAAAGCCAAGTTTGGAAATGACTCATTTGTGTTTTAGACCCATAAATACAAGTATACATGTAAAAATGAAGTAGTCACTGCTCTATGGTCTATGGGGGTGGCTGTGTTTTTGTGTAAAGACCACAAACACCATCCATTTCAGTGACTCAGATCAGCTGAGGTAATACATCGCAGGCTGGAAGCAGCCACACCCATAATGGTGCACAACTTTTAGCTTGTGCTAAAATTTAATTAAATCAACTTAATGGTGTGAGTTATAAAAGTCAACTTTATTTTTAACCCCGTTGCTTGTTGCTAGACAACATCAGAGGAGTTTGTAAGTTTTTTTAGGTTACAGCTAGAACCAGAGGAAAATCCTAAAAAACACCCTGAAGATGAAGTCAGTTGTGTAGTTGACTGTGTAGTGTAGAAATGGGTGTGTCTGAGGTTTCACTGGTGTCACTAATGTCAGTTGGTCACTAGTTTCCCTTTCCATTTAGTTTTATATCCTTCTCCCTAGATATAACTTTTTTTTTTTTTCATTTTCATCTCTCTTCATTTCATCCTCTGCTACATTCTTGTTTCCTTTGAAACAAATAAAAACCCAAACTCAGTTTTCAGGAAACCTGCCGCGGGTCAAGTGATGTGCAACTGTGTTTTTACAGGCCTCATTTCCCAGTTTCCCGGTGTTTTCACTTTGCATCCTGTTTGTATTAGTCTGTTCCTCTGCTTCTTCAGTTTTATAAATCTCTCAGGCCACGATGACGCAAAAACTCCAAACGACAACACAATAGAGACCACCTGGGTATTCTGCTGTGTGTGTTGAGAGGCTGCTCGAGTGATAACATCCTGTAATGTAGTCGGCAGAGTCAAGCTGCAGTGACGCTGTAAAGAAAGTCACAGTTCTAACTGATCAAAATGTTAATTTAATTTATAGTTATTCACAATTGAACCATGTTTTTCATTATATTTTATATTTTATTATATTTATTAAGACCTGTGAAACAGGAAAAAGTCTGTTAAATTTCAGATTCTTTGATCTTATAGTGTAATTTATGTCACAGTAGTCTGAAAGTGATTTGCGACCTACTGATGATCATATAAACCTCAGAACATGAGCATTTTTGTAGCGTGGGTTTAAGTTTTTAGTTCAAGCTATTTACAGCTTGATGAAAAAACTACCACAATTCATTTTCACAGTTTCCAGAACACATAAACATGTGTGAGAACTTTTAAACGTGCGACAGCAAGAACTAAAAAACACATTACGGTTGCAAATTTACACAAAACCAAACACTCGACTTTTTTCAGGGGCTCCGCTGTATCTCTTTTGGTTGAGCAGTGACACAGAAGTTTTTAGCAGTTTGTCCACGTTGTATCTGCTCGTGGGATGCTGTAAAATCCCTTCAGCTTTGGCGTCTTCCCACTCGTACTCATTTATTTCTTTCTCCATCAGTATTTCTGGCTGAGGCTTACTTGTCCTTCCTCTGTGACAGCCTTTTATGTAACGGTTCAGCAGTGCTTAGGAACTATTTGTTCAGCTTCTAAGCCCTCTGTCTCATCTCCCCTCAGTATCCATTACTCACACTAAACAAAAATTCCCTTTGTGATGCACCGTGGCTTCAATAAAAACGCTTCTTCATTTCTAATCGGCTTGGAAAACTTACATATAATGGGTGACATTTTTTTAATGTGAGACATTAGTTCAAGTTAAACATCTCTTGGTGCACTCCCTAATTTGTCCTCTTGGCACCATTGAACAACACCATTGCATTAAGGGAATGTCTTCAGTTGTTTTTGTTGTTTTTTTTGTTTTTTTTTAGTGGTGAGTTCATACTGAATGCAACAGGTGTTCACTTATTGGCCATATAATGTTTATTAAGCCTACATCATATAATGCCGCTATTTTAGCCTTCTACTCCATATAATGTCAGTGGTGTACTCTCTGTTTACACCATGCAGTGTTAGTGGGGCAGCTGTACAGTCCATATAATATCAGAGTGTTAGCTCCTTGGGCTATTTTTTGACAGTTCGAGTCCACCCACTGACAGTGTGTAGCACTGTGTACAATACCAGCATTCATTTTGTCAACTCTAGTTCAGAGGTAGAAGAGTGTATAGGGCCTCTTATCAGCTTCTGAAAGAGCCTCTCTGTCCCAGTCATCCATCTGTCACTCTGTCTCCCTCTGTTCCCTTCCCTATTCACACTTATCTCACTCTATCAGTGCAGACCCTTTGACACAACTGCATTCATTGGCATTTTTTGTTGATATTTAACAGGCACTAAATATGCTGAACCAATCAGCCAATTTGCAGCTTTTAGCAGCCCCACCACTACCCACCACCACCAAAAAAAATGCAACTTGAAGTTGAGCATTACTTCTGTTTTTGCAGCAGTGCGTCCTGGTGTTCACATGTAGATGTTTTAGCGAAAGACAAAAATAAGAAGAAAGGGGAGATTCAGGCAGCTGCCCTCTTTTTTTCATGCTCCCTGTGTGTTTGCATGCAGGCGGCGATGCGCGAGCGTGCACTTGTGTCTTTACAGAGTGAAGTTTTCTGGTGGGAACGGTTTTGTCTTCCTTTCGGTACCCTTTTTCAACAAAGCGAGGCTGTGATTGGCCCCCGGGCTGATGAATATTCACGTAGGTGACAAAGAAAGCTCCCCACATAAACAAAGTTGAAGCCAATTAGTCTCCTACACAGAATCACTGTGCTCCCGTGCGTGTGTGTGTCATGCACTTGTTGCATACGAGAGGAGAAACCGTGCCAGAGTCGACCCTGACGAATCGATTTAGGTTTTGGCTGCCATGGAGCTGCTAATTGTCGTGGCCCTACGTTACAGAATTGAAATCACAATATGAAAAAATGTCAGCGTGGGTGCTATAGTGTGGCCCTGGTGCGGATGTTCTGTGGAGCTCAGCAGTGTTGTGCCCCCGGGGCCCATGGTCCCACACTGACATTTCTCTGTGTGGAACAATAGCAAGAAAAAATAGGGTTGGAGATCTACACAAAAGATGGCTTGTTTCATGTTAGCTGTGACCTCTGAATAGTTTTCCTACTGCTCCTTGCATCAAGACCTTTCACCTACTTTAGGACCTTTCCACTTTGATCACATTAGAAAAGACACTCCTTTTCCTCTATTGGAGACTAAAGAAGTAAGACGTGCCGAGTCTGTCTCCTTACTGAAACCCTGTCTTTATAACTAATGCTGTTATCTGTGGTTTTCTCTGTTTTGTTAATTTTTTTCTCATTTTTTCAATTTATTTTGGGTCCCTTGAGAACAATATGCTTTATTTTTAAATAAGAAGATATCATACATCGTACATGATGAGGTTACTACTGCACTGATCAGTATACAGCGACCAGTGACAACATCCACTTTGGTGAAATCTCCACGACTGCCATTTTCTTTTTTATTTTAGATATATGTGCTTTTTCTTTGGCCTAGTGAGTGCTCTCACCTTTATTTTGGTGTGTTATATAGTTTTTTATCAAACAACAGCTGTCGACCGTAGCACCGCAGAATCTTTCATCTACTCATGACTGGAGGCTCATGACAGCATGACAGGATATAAAGATTACAGCATCCTCCCTCTGCTCAGCTGTGTTGTTAGCTAGCTGCTTCTTTTGATAGGCGGATGAAGACAGAAGTACAAAGAAAAATTAGTTCTTACATAAAGAAAGCTGTGCACAACAAGTAGGCTATGATTTCTGGAAATTTACATGAATGTTGGCGTTATTAAATGTGTTTTTTGTACACCACCAGGCAGCTGCCATTCAGTCTTATAATATTTAAGAAAAGAAAGTCGATTTCTCCCAAACCAGGATTTTCACACGTTAAAAAAAATGTTGTACATGCCCAAAGTAAAATATTTTAAGTTTTACTTTTCTAGATAATTTTAAATAATGTAACCAAGTTTGGTAACTGCAAGAATCTTCATATCATATTTTACATGCGACATCTTTAAGCAGCATATAAAATTAAAGAGGAAAATTCAAAATTAAGTGACAGAAGCATGACATGCGGGCAATAGATTTAAAGAAATAGCTTGACAAATATTATTTGTATTACAGTTTCATTAAGCTAATATGTTCTGCATTTCTTTTATAGGGTGGTGCTATCTCAATCCTGACAGCCTGTGAAAGACCTGGTGATTTTGTTGGAGTGGTTCTGATAGCTCCCCTGGTCCAGATGAACCCGGAGTCAGCCACACCATTCAAGGTACCACATACCAATCACCGACCCTTTAAACCACTATTCTCTTCTTTCTGTTCTTTTTCTCTCCTCTCCCAACCCAAGAGGCAGTTATCTTACTTTACTCAGGTTTGCTGTGGATGGTGTCTATAATACTTATAATACTGGCACTTTTTATTTTGTGTGTTTCAAAGGCAACAATCAGTTCAGGTATCACTAGAGCTGCATAAATGGCCTCTCACTGAGTCTTTGATACAAGTATGTCCCAAGTGTGGCCAATCTCTGACAAATCTCACAGAGGAGGCTGTTTTAACAGAAATAAATGACTTTTTTATTCCTTATTTTATGAATTAAAAGTCTAACACTAATACATAATAGTGCAATATTTAAAACCAAAATAGGAGAAGGAAACAGTCTTCATGAATGATGTCACATGAAAATAAGCTATGCTCTTCTCTGTTTGTAGGTTTTCATGGCAAAACTGCTGAACCACATGCTGCCCAGCCTCACTATGGGCTCCATCGAGTCCAAATGGCTCTCACGGGACAAGAGGCAGGTGAGAGACTGATGCTGGCAATGTGTGTTTTGGGTGGCTGAGCACTCTTGTTGTTTGAAATTGAAATATCACTCACTGAGACTGTGGGAAATAGAATTTCCAAGGTGTAAATTTGTCCGCGGTTGATTGTCTACGCTAATGTCAAGTCACACTATGTTTATTGTCCAATCCCATGCCAAAACACCACATCTTTGTAGACACTGTACGCCTTTTCCAAACAGCAGGACAGGTTTGCGTGCGTTTGTTGGTTGTGTTATTTTGTAAACACAGTACATGCTACACACCCATACTTTGTAGTGCCCCTAGAGACATCCCTGGAGAAACAGAAACAAATTCTCATGGCATGTCACCACGCCTAAATGTTGCACGAATTTGAGTCTGCGTGTGTGTGTGTGTGTGTGTGTGTGTGTGTAGTTTACATCAACATTCCTACATCCTGCTGCTTCTGCTTCCTACAGTCAGTCAGAGGAAGTTGTGTTCTTCCAGATACAAGAATAAACAATAGCAGATAAATACTGAATCAAAGGATGTAATCATGTAACAGGTAATCTAGGCACACAGGTATCCAACTGCATAATGAGACTATGTGATACGATATTGTTACTAGAATGAAAGTTGCAGGGGTGGATCATACTTTGCTCTGATTTCTCACTGTAACCTTTTCTTCATGTGTTTTCAGTAAAGTAGAAAGCTCAATTTCACAACTGAATATGAAACCGTTCGGTAGCCTTATGTTGTTTTATTCATTGTGAGCGGGGATCAGTGGGAATGAACGTCTCAGTCAAGTTCGGTACATAAATGTTCATGGCCTCAAGATGTTCTTTCACCAAAAGACAGGAGAAAAGTAAAAAAACGAAATGAAATTTGCTGTTGCAGGATTTATATTTCTTTTTTCATCATCTACCACCAATCAGCTCACAAACGATCTTATGATGAGCTTAATGAATACTTTTTTGTATTGGTCCTTTTTGCTCCTGTAACTGCAAGTCATTGTTATTTAGTGAACATGCAGTGACACTACTTGTGTCACTAGTTGTGTAATATTCAAGATGCACACAACAGTGTCCACTGATCAGTTTGCTGATTGTCGCATAACAAACAAATGCAAAATGTTACTAATTTTAAAATGAGGGATGATAAAGCATGATGCAGAACCATAAACGAAGCATTGATGCACATACATAAAGATACAAAGTCCACCATGCTACAAGACCCTGCAGCAGTTACATTCTTGCACGTTATCTTTAAAACGTGAAATACAATCTTTAACATTTAATACAAAAAACAGTGAAAAAAAATAGGTTGAAAAGAAATAATAAACTATTACTCTCATCAAAACATTTTGAAGTTAATTTATTTCATTTTGTAGCCCAAAGTTTTCGATGATAGATTAGATGGAAGGATGTCGTCTACAGCACGAGGTTTCACAGTCTCCTGGGCTGATGTGGTGTCATTAGTCAAGCCACCTGTGACAATAGAGGAATGCTCTTTCTGTCAAAGTCAGCCACACATCTATGTGCTTACATAGATGCTGAATAGACATGAGTAACTGTATGACTTATGTGACAGCTACTTGTAACTACATGTTTAATGTCAGAGAAACAGGGAATTCCCTCTCCGATTTACCTCCTTAGCTTCCTTTTTCCTCCTTTTTCCTTTCTGCTTCCTTTTAACATAACTCCACTTTATCATCCTGCTTCGCTCACATTTTTATTTCTAAATAAAACTCACTGTCCATTTATTAGCGACCATTTGTTCCCGCTTCCCCTCCAACTGCCACAGATTTCCCAGGAGTCTTTTCATTTTCATGCCCATATTTTCTCCCTGAGAACAACTTTTCTCCCTTCAGCGTTATGCCATATTTGGAGAAAACTACAGTATGTATTTGCTTGTTCATTCTAGGCTGTGCACACCCTTTCTAAATGTGTAACACATATCTTCTCATAGTTGTATATTGCGAGAAATTAGAAAATGATTAGGCTTGCAAGATCTTGCCTTTATTACAAGTTGCATTAACATTTAAGTGGGGTTTTTATTGAGCATTCTAACAAATTAAAATTAAAAAAATTTAATATTAATTTACTTGTATGACTTTTAACAACTTGAACACATAAAATGTATTTCTCCAGCATATAATCTATAATGCAGTTCAAACGTGTTGTAGCTTCCAGCTAATTTTAAATCAAAACACTGACCACAACCTGGCCAGATGTATTTGGCATCTGTTACCATGGTGATTTAAGCCAGGTAAAGGAGAGGAGTAAGAAAATGGCCAGTTTAACTCGCTTTATCTATCAGTGGTTTTAACTTTTAGGGTGATTGGGTGATGGCAAAATGAAATCCGCCATATATTATGTTAATTTTTGAATGAAAACAACTGAAACTTCATTTAGTCTGTTGTCATCGCATCCTTTAGTGTGTACAGAATGTTGTCGGAGCAACCTGGAGAATTGTTTTTGTTCAGTCAGTTGCGTGCTGAAGAAAGAGAGGGAAAAGAAGCAGACAGTTGTCAAACCAAAGATAAGTGATATGCAGCGTCGTGAGAATCCAGCAATGACCGGCAGACCAAGGCCAAACAACATGCAACCTGCAGGGACTTGGTATCAACATGGCAGGCCCAGTTTTCCACCAAGAGTAAGGCACAATCTGAAGCAGGATAATGCTGGACTCAGAGCCCAACTGGAAGAGACTCAGTGGCAGCTACACATGTGTAAATCCAGTCTTAGAGAAGCAAACACGAAGGCCTTGGATTTTGAGAGTCAGGTGGATGAGTATCGCAGAAAGTTCTACTATTTGGATATAGAAACTGAGAAGACAATCAACGATCTGAAAAAGCAGCTGGACGCAGCGCTCAGTAATGAAACCAAGTCTTACCTGCAGGACATTCACACGCTCAAATTTGAGCTTCGTGAAGCTAAAATTGAACGAATCAACAATGCAAACAGGTTGATTCTAGCAGATAAGATCATGCATAAGCTTACTTCTAACCTGGGCGATGCCAACAAGAAGCTGCAGCAGCCGAACAGAAACTCTATAGACACCCAAACGATGATCAGTGACGCTCCTTCAAAGAACCAGTGCTGCGAGATGCAACAGATGTGCATTGACCAACTCCAGCAGCAGCTTCAAAACGCTAAGGAAGAACTGAAGAAGCAAGCTGAGGAACACGAGGATGAGAAAGAGGCTTTACGCTCTGAAATTAAGCAACTTAAAGGCCTCAAAGAACAGAATGAGGAGAAGCTGATGAGTTTAGAGAAAGAGCTAAACGACACGAAAGCTTCCTACATCGCACTCCTGGAGGAGCAAAAGAAGGAGAATGCTAACTTCACACAGGCACTGCAAAAAGAAGAGGAGGAGAAGGCCTCACTTCTAAAGACTCTGAAGGAGCAAGAGGACATGGAGAAGAGATTGGAGGAACTCACGTTTATAATCGATGAGTTAGAACAAGAGTCGGAAGAGAGGAAGAGGAGTTGCTGGCCTTTTAGGTTCTTTTCTTAACTGGTATCTGTCAGTCTGTATTTAAAAATGAATAAATAAATGTGTTTTATGAAATAGCCTTTCAGTCTTGTGCTTTTGTTTAGGTGACAACATGAGTGCACAGTTTTGGGGCAACATTTTGAATACGTTAGGGCAATAAAATGACTGGGTAACACCTTAAAATAAAAAAATTCAAATGAAACTTTACACAACTTAAAATTCACAACCATTACTTGAATTTACTTGCAGTACAATAAAAAAATGAAAAACCTGACTTTTCCCCTCATTCTTATGTTCTTAGGTATTTGTAGGTAAATATAATTACATTTTAATTCAAATAAGATACACTGAAATTACATTTAATTACAAGGGAATTACATCCATAGATGTGGGCTGTATTATAAAGTGTTACCAAGGACTTTAGTTAAGGTTAGCAGAAGATCACATTTTCCCTGATACATTTGAAGTTTGCATGAAATACTTCACATTATAAGTATAATTTTTTTGCAAAGAAACAATGGAAATGGCTGAAAAGCTGTCAGAGCTGTTGCATTTAAATGTAGCCAATAGGGACAAAATATTGTTTATATATTAATATTGTTTCTTGCAGATACAGTATCAGGTAAAATATTTTATACATGTACACACACACACACACACACACACACATATATATATATATATATATGCATGACTGAGGGCATAATTAAAGAGAATGTAAGTGTATTTTATTTAAACGTAAATTGTAAAGTAAATTGTAAAGTAAAAGTAAATTAACAATCTAAAAGTAAATTGTTATTATACTTAGCTACAAATATTGGGTTAACAACTCAGGTTTTTAAGGGAAATAGTAGTAGTAGTAATTTTGCAGGAAAACAAAAAAATGTGTGGGTTGAGTGGGTTTTCTCCGGATACTCCGGCTTCCTCCCACATTTAAAATATGTGCAGTTAGTGAGGATAGGTTAATTGGAAATTTCCCATAGGTGTGAATGCAGGAGTGAATGGTTGTCTGTGTCTATGTGTTAGCCCTGCGACAGACTGGCGACCTGTCCAGGTTGAACCCTGCCTCCCGCCCTAAGGCAGCTGGGATAGGCTCCAGCCCCCTCCCATGACCCTGAAAAAGGAGAAGTGGAAATGAATGGATGGATGGATGGATGGATGGAACAAAAAATAGATAGATGCATAGGAATAAGGAGGTAACAAGTGAAGTGGAGTGGCTTAACCTTGCCTAACTTGTAGGTCTTTTATGTTTTAAGTGAAAGAAATTAAATTAGACTTGGCTCCATCAGTTTAAGGTCACATAGGCCTGCACATTTATTTTATTCTGATAAGTTGGCAAGGGAATTTTAATGTTGATAAATAATAGAATATCCATCATAGAGATATATAGTGACATATAATGAACATTAAATAAACCTGTAAAAAACAGACGTAAAAAGGCAAGGCAGTGATATGAATGTCAGTGAATGTGACATCTGTTATAGAGCGCTTTGAGTACTCTGAGAGAGTAGAAAAGCGCTATATAAGAATCAGTCCATTTACCATTTATATATTAATATTGTTTCTTGCAGATACTGTAAAATACAATTTTCCACATTTCACACTGTGTACTTCTGAAAAGTTTTTCTCACAGTTTTCTGTTATAAGTTTGGTTTGAGAAACAAAGTGAATATTTGATCACTGTACTAGCTGTTAGATTCAACATTTAAAATGCAGAAAGGACTCTTTATTGTTCATCTGCTCTTAGGAGACTCCAGGCCATCTGTGCATGAGCGACCGTTTTCCCTTTTAATTTGTACCATTTTTCTTCTGGCTGACACGTTTGTGCAATTTATTGCCCACAGTAGCGCTGCATGCATCTAATTGTACACAGACTCTCACTGATGATGTAGAGGTGTCAAAAACTTAAAAACTTGGCATTACAGGGTTGAAGGAGCATTTGTGCTCTATGAAAGGATTGCTGAGTTGAGTTAAGCCTGACCAAAATTATTTCTCTGAGCTTAATTAGAAAGAGGAACAGCAGGAATGAACTTACATTGATATCAGTCCAACATCCGGTGGAGAGAGATGATAAACCAAAGCATCTCCACCCTGGCCTCTTTTGTTTCTCTCCTGTCAGGTGGAGGCATATGACGCTGATGAGCTAAACTATCACGGCGGGATGCGAGTATCATTCGGCATGCAGCTGATGGCGGCAGTGGAGCGTATGCAGAGGGAGATCCCGTCCATCAGCTGGCCCTTCCTGCTCCTTCACGGTGACGCCGACAAACTCTGTGACATCAGAGGCTCCAGGATGATGTATGACAATTCACCGAGTACAGACAAGAAAATCAAGGTGTGTATGGTTAATTTACAGAAAACTGTATCTGTAGAACTGCCTTAGGTTCAACAAGGTGTTGGAAACATTCCTCTAAGATTTAGATTCATATTGATAGATTAGCATCACATAGTTGGTGAAGATTTGTTGACTCATTGTCATGTTCAATACACCAGTTTGACATGATATGAATAAAACATGCCATGCTGGAAGCAGCCATCAGAAGATGGATGGTTGGATGGTGGTGGTCAGCAACAGTACACGCTGGGTACAATGCTCAGTTGGCACTAAGGAGCCCAATTACACCACCAGCAACACACTAAACTATTAGCACGAAGCAGGACTGCTTCATGCTTTAGTGGTGCTGTAGAAATAAAATAAAATTGAATTGAGTTGAGTTGAACTGAATGTTGTTTATGCCAAATTCTCTCCCTACTATCTCAACGTTGAAGCTGAAATCGAGAGTCATCAGACCAAACAACACAATTTCTGGTCTTTTGATATGCAATTTTGGTGAGCAGGTGTGAAACACAGACTCAGTTTTCTGTTCTTAGCTGACAGGACTGGGGTGGTCTTCTGCTGCTTGAAGGTTCAATTTATTGTGCACTGAGAGAAATTGTTATGCATATCTTGGTTAGTTGGTTATTTGACTTATTGTTGCCTTCTTGTCAGTTCAAAGCAGTGTGACCATTACCGTGACATCTGACAGTGTCCAGGAAAATCCCAGTAGATTAGCAGTTTCTGAAATACTCCAAATACACCAAACGCCATGCCACGTTCAAAGTCATTTAAATTATGTTTCTTCCCCATTTTGATGGTTGGCCTGAATTTCAGCAGGTCTATATGTCTAAATACACTGATATGTTTAAATATTTGCATTAATAAAGTTTCAGATGAGCGTTTATAAAGTGCAACAACTGAACGTGACACAGTGCATAAATATGGTGAATAACATTGCCTCCAGCATTAAAGATGTCTTCTGACACTTTAAAAATGATGATTCGAGATTACAAAGCTGAAGTCTTTGTGTTTGATTAATACAGAAACTGTCCGTCATTAAAACTTGTTGTTATTAAAATATAACTAAACTAAAGGAAACTAAAGGAAAAATATACAAACCCTTGACTTTACAGTCAGGGGATTTTACACAATGCTGTGAAGCATTTTACTGTGATGTGATGCAACACATGCCTATACCTGTATTACATTATGAAATGCAGCTTAAACCTCTTAAATCCCAAGAGCTTCAACACTGGTATTTGTAAAGAGGGAAGTTTCACACACTATGTTGTCACATGGTTCATCACATGGAGGTTAAAAAGAGGATGAACAAGAGACATGAGAATGAGACACATGAGAAGTGAAATCAGATATAACGAATGTTCTGTTTTTGTGCAGCACAGTGAGACAGATAGTGCAGGGAGCAGAAAATCAAGTGGTGCTTGTGAGGCTCAGATGCTTCTTTATCACATGTTTTATCAAAGTAATAATTGGACCAAATGCAGGGGCTTTCCACGTTAGTTCAAGCTGTAAACGGAAGTCATTTGATCACACCAAACATTTTGCTGTGATCAAATGACTTTTGTATTAAATCCCTGTAGGTTTGGCAAAGCAGGAAGAACCCGTTGCAACTTTGACCACACTGCAAGTTGTTAAAAAGCATTGTAGAACAAAAAGGAAATGGTTTTACATACATCCCTCTGATCGTTTCTTATCGTTTCTAAATGTTATCCCAGATCTACGAAGGAGGCTACCACGCTCTTCACCATGACCTCCCTGAGGTGGCTGAGTCCGTGCTAAAGGAGCTGACCACCTGGATCACAGAGCACATTCCAGCTGCAACATCGCAGGAAGCGCAAGGCTCCTAAATGTATGGCCTGCACACCTCTGTTGAAGCTCTGAGGAAACTGCCAATCTCGTCATAAAACGCCTGCTCACGTTCCTGTAGTGCGTCAGGCATAATAATACTACTGCACTTTCCTGTCTGGGAGTTATTTGGGCATACTGATGGACATTATAGTCTCTGTATAACAGGTTTATTAGCAAATCCTCTGGGCTACTGTAAAAAAAAACACACACACACTCTTCCTCCTATCTGTACATCAGGCCACTGATATAAATTGGGCAATAGGGTCAGTTCTTATTGTAAATACTCTGTAGCAATGGTCAGCATCATGGCAAAATTTCTGATCAGGGATGTGCCTCATGTGTTTATATGCTTCACATCATCTCCACTGAACTGCTCGTGTGCAGCTTTTAGAGAGTAAAGACTGTCACAAACTTTACTCCCTAAAAGCAAGGGTTCGAAGTGCAATAATGGGTATGGCCTTTCATTTTCTCATTTTATAAACAGGCCAGATCTTTTAAATATTAATAACAGAGGCAGCAGAATACAGAAGCATTTCTTTCTGCCTCAACTACCATTAACAGACTGGGTTAGAGGTCAGGAACAGAAGGAGGTTGGCACCTTTTGAGCTGTTGTCGGTTCAGGGATGCATGAATACTTAATAGATAACTTATCATTTAGCGACACTGAATAGCCATCTTAAAGTCTCCTTAGTTTACTCCACCATACTCTCTGACCTTATCCCATCTGCTCTTCCTCTCCTGCCTCCTCACTGACTGCGCTGTTTTGTAATATCACATTTCTGATAAAGGCAGCTTTTATAGAGCTGATCAGAAGCATATACTGAAAGCACTCTAGATGTAATAGTCTTCTCCTGACTTCCTCTTTGCTTGATCTGAGGACAGATGGTTAGCCTAAAGACAGATGGTTGACAGTGATACATCATATGAGGATAAGGTACTGTAGTCAGTCTAAATCCAGATGATGATCTAGCTTCATAAATTTTGTCCTAATGACGATATAAGTACTTCTTATCTGCCTAACTGAGTGACCGATTATTAAAATAGTTTTCCATATAGGTGCTATGTATGCGATCCTAGTCAAGAGTGTAAGATGGGGCTAAATTATTCAGATGAAACTGCTTTGAATCGCTCTGCAGGTGGGAGGTCAAAGGTGAAGTGTTCTCTGACCTTTATGGCCGTAGTCGAGCTCACTGTCAGTTGTTCACTGAGGCCAAGCCTTGATTGATTAAGTTCAGGCTGCAAACTGGGGGGCCCAGCTATAAAGTGAAAGGGGAACATGACATGACTTTATTCCAGGAAGCAGCCAGTCTGGCTTCGTTTTTTTTTAATCTTGTTCTGTAAAACTAACCTTTGATGTTCTTAAAGTATAGGGACATCAAAGGTGAGGACAAGGGGCCGTTCAAAGGGTTAGCATTTAAAATCAGCTCTTGCTCGATGTGGGTTTTCAGCTGAACCACAGCAATAATGTCAAAGTAGCCTACATTTGTGGTTTGTCAGTAATTATAAACTAGACAGACACGCTCTGAACTACCTATTTGATAGTGTCGTGTAGACTGTAATTACTGGTCACATACACTTAGCTTTTACCTGTTCGTCAAGCACAATGAGGTTTCAGATTATTAAACGTGCACCGCTCACAACTTGGAAAGCAATTAGGGTCTTTTGTGGTGCTTAATTTTTGACACCAGACATCCGTGATACCGCTTTTAGTGACTCGTTCTGTGGTGAACACATCCAGTAAGCAGTTCTTTGATAGAGATTCAACTGGCCAGCCTGTTTTCTTTTTTTTTCTTTTTTCGGTATTACCCGGAGTTCAAAGAGACTCATGCACATAGTGAAGGGGGAAGCTTGCTGCTGTAACCACGGTTACTCTTGTTTAGTCATAGCAGCAGCAGTGTGGCAGAAGAGTCCTTTTTTTCTTTTTGACATGTGTTGTCACCCTGGTGACCACTAAAAGACTGACAGAATGAGAGCAATTTCTGGCCTCTCTGTCTTTATGTTTCTTCCCTTCACCCCGCCTTGTCTCACCCATACTATTTTTTCTTTGTTTGTTTGTTTGTTTATTTTTTAGCCACAGTAACCGGTGCTCTTTGTTCCATCCATCATGCAAGCCTTTGTTCTACTACATACTCAAACATTGTGTACCCTCAGCCACCCACACTGTCCCTAGTGGCCAATTATCAGAGCTGCAACAGGTTATATTGTAAAGTGTTCAGATACAATTTTTATTCTTTTTTTCTGATTCTTGGACCATATGGCTGAGACCAAGGGTGCTAGATGTAGGTGGGAGGAAGGGGCCATTAAATCTTTTTTCTTTCTTCAGCTTCTTCTTTAGGTGAGCTGGTGTGCTTTAAATCAGAAAATGGGTTTCTGCAACATTAACCAACAAGAAAGACTTTTACATCGCAGCAAAACAATCAGAAGGAGCAATTTAAAATGTCATATTAAAGACATTTTAGTCTGACGTTGTTTTGCTCCCAGTATGAAAAGATTACATAAAATGACTGATGATGAGGGAAAAGGCTCTATTATCAGGACTGGCTTAGGCAGTAGACCATGTGTTTTTTTTTGGGAGGGGGTTGTGGGAAGGAGAGGTTATCATAAGGTCAGTAGTTTGACTTCCAGGTCTGATATCTTTAAGAGCTTTTTGCCCACCTGCTTTGAAATAAGTCGAGCGTGACACATACTTTAACTTTAAATGTGAAGTCGCTTACTTACAAACGTTGATGTGGCTTCTTCTTCTATTAACATCTTTCCTGGTGTTTTCAGACTGAACTGCGTCAGCTGTATTATCGAGTTGCATTAGAAAATAAAATAATTAATCGTTATCGGCAGAGTGCTTTCCATAATGTGAAAAAAATAGCATTGAATACAAAATACAACATGAGACATGAAAGCAAACAAATCAGTGTAGAAGAGGGAATAAATAGAAGGAACTTCAGGATGTAAGTGCATCCTCTTCTCTATTTTTACAGACGTCAAAAAATACTTTGCCAGAACAAATATTGGATTACTTTGCAGCGGGTGCAGACATAGATGGAGATGTAAATGTATTCATCAGTCCCGATGGGAGTCAGACCCTTAACCTCAACTGAACTGCAGGGGTTTTTATCACCAGCCCTTCAAACACAATCTGCTCCTGATTAGGCTGCAGCAGGAACAGCGCACACAAGTGTCGCGCGGTCCCAGTTTTATTCAAACTCATAATAGCACCCCTGCTGCAACGCATCAGCGCGATTGTTTCAGCCTTGCAGGATCCTGCGTAATTTCAAAAAGCTGTACCTGTCAGACTACATGAGTGCATAATACTGCTGTCGCTGGCTACGGGGGTGGAGAGAGATGGAGATATGGTGAGAGGGGAAGAGAAAGAAAAAGGAGAGGAGAGAAGCTGTCAGTAACCATGGCAGCACTGTTTTTTTGTTTTTTTCAGAGTAAAAATGTGGATTCATTAATGCTACAGGAAGTGTGCCAGACGTTTGTGTGCTTTCAGGGCCGGTTGTCCATTTGCTGCTCTGAGGATTCCCTTTTGTGTGAGCACTGAGATAAGAGAGCAAATAATTAGCATCATCAGCTCACAGTGAATAATAAGAGCTGCGCACACTCAGTGCATTTGGAAAAAAAAAAAAAAAAAGACTGTCTAGTCTGCTGTTTGGTCCAAAAACATACTATTCCCATTTAATGATTTCGAAGACATAACAAGGCCTTTTATCACATAGGTTTGTGCATTTTCCCTATGGAAGCAAAACCTTTTCACTGGATTTTAGTCCTTTCTTAATAAAGTGTAGTCCCCTTATATTGTCTTTACATCTTGTGAAGGCTTGTAAGCCATCACATGCTCCCTTTTCCCTGATATGTATCCTTACAAGCATGGAGTGAGAGAAGGAATGCCATAAATGTGCACATATATTACTCTATTAATAAATGATAATCCACTTGACTGTTAAGGTCCTTCAGTTTTTAGGCTTAGGAAGTTGAAATTAAAGTAGAGAAAAGAATGAGGGCAGGAAACCACTCAATCTAATTTGGCTGCAGCTTTCATAAAGAAATGTGTCACAGCTGGCCTACAGGGTGATGTAATTAGGCCACTTCAGTTTAATGTTTGTCATTTTTTTATTTCGACTGTATGACTGTTTCTAAGAGAAGAGCTGTTTTATGCTAATAAGCCTGAGGTGCAAAGGCCAGTCTTTATGTAGTTTTATAAGATTAAAGTGCACTTGAAAGATTCAGTTCGCATGAATGGGCCTCTGGAGTGAATGCTGAAGAAAGCAGCAAGAATTGAAGGGGTCGTCTTCCAAAGTGAATGTAAATCCAGGAAAACGGTTTTATCTTATTGTCGTAATCATGTGTGTAGAAACAAAAACAGATGCTCCAGGTTGTTAACACGTAAACCTTTAAATGTTTGAATCGTCATAACTGTGTTTTGGAGCAACGCCCCAGCTCAAATCTTGCTGTTCTAACCGACAGTTTTGACAAACTTGATTTGTTTCCAGCCGTCACGCTGCTTGGTTGCTGAACACAATTGTAATACTCTGTACATAGAAATGCTAATGAAGAAATGAAGACTACATTGTATTTTACATATCTTTTATTTATCTTGTATTTATAGAAATTCATTTAATGTATAGGCATCAAAGTACTGATAACACATCACGACAAGGCACTTTTTTTATACCACAATCCAATCGCTCATTGAGTTTCCCATCTATTCAAGACTTCATAACACTTTTGTTGTTATGGAAACTGGTTGACGGTTGTATGTTTGTACAGTTAAGCAACCCAGAAAATGTAGGGCAGTGTTTCTGAAAAGACTCTGTCTACTGAAGTTCATGTCTTGAAAAACGTCACACACTGTCTTTGTCAAAGATTTTTGTTTAAACTTCCAGATTTTAATTTGACTTTTTTTTTTTGTTCTTTTTAAAATATATATATATATTTTTTAAAAATGATTAACAACCAAAGGGTGTTACTGCTAAAGATTTGTTGCCTTGTACTTCTTTATCAAATTAGATTTTCAGGAAGTTGTTTTCTCATTTTGATCTTTATCTAAGGTGAAATAAACATGAGTGCAAAACATTTACGTAACACCTGCAATTTATACACCACGCAAACTACTGAAAGAAAAAAAAAACAGTTATCAGGTTTTCAAGCAGATAAAAAAGCAAGTCTAATCAATTTGGGGAAATTTTTAATTTCATATAATTGAAGAGATTTTTGTGACAATAACTTTTGTACATTTATTTTTGAATTGTATTCTGGTTGTTGTCTGTGCCTTATTATGCTAATGAATGTGGTTTTATGCTCACTTGTGAGTCTGTGAGTGTTTTCTGCACTTGAAGCATCTGTTTCTCTGTTTACTCTTTTCTGAGTGCGTGTGTGTGAGTGTGTGTGGTCACGTCTGTTTCCGTTCCTGGTTGAGTAATTGTGTCTTTCTGCTTATCGTCTTCCTGTCTGTCTGTTTTCACTGATGTCTGTCTAAATTTCTGTCTTTATCGTAGGTCTAAGCAGGTTGGGGTTGAAAACTGTTTCCGAGTCTTTCAGTACAGGCTCAGCTACAGCACATAAATACCTCCCAGATTCTTTAAAGACCTGTTTTGTCTAAGCCATTTAGAGAAATGCAATATTTAACACAAAAATTGATGCATTTGGCTTGCTAATATGGCAACAGTGTTGCTGGGTTGTCTTAAAGTTATTTCTTTTGCTCCCAGTGGGACTCAACAGAAAAAACAGGAAGTTCAATCAATCACATAAAAATAATAACAATAATAATGAAACGAGGGTTTGTAAAACAACAGAAATAACATGCAGATTTTTCCATTCTGACCGCTGTGTATTGAACGCCTACATTATTTAAGTGCTGTGAGGTTAAAATTATAACTCTAGAAAGTCTCACAGTTATGTCGTCTGTCTTAGAGAGTCCAACATTTACTTTAATCTGTGTTTGTGTCAGTATTTCATTTTGATTTTTAAGGGTGGCACGGTAGCCTTCTTGGTAGGAAAAGCTCTACATCTTGATAAGCTGAGGAATTTTGTAAACACAAACCCTAACGTCATCTTCGTAATCGTGCATTTGCAATGTCAAATCAATCAAATGGTTAGTGTTTAGAGACCATACACCACAACCTACAAAAAAAAAAAGGATTTGTTTTGTTTTTTTATGACAAAACTATATTGAGTCTTCCTTATTAAATTTTTTTTCTCAGTTTATGTAGTACTGGATGTACTTTATGTTAACAGTGTTGATGTGAAAAATATGCCAGTTTTTAAACATTTTCTACACCTCTAAAGACCGTAGTGCACACTTTCATTTAACATCGTCCTATACTTCTCATACTTCGCACTGATGCATTATAGTCACATCATAGGTTGAGTGTCAGCATTTGACATTTTACTTCAAATCTGGCACAAAATTGTATATAATATGTAATAATGGAAATACTTCTGAATGGCTGAATGGCAACTTATTTGTTACTAGACTGTTGATAATGTCCATACTCTCTTACAGAATAAATGACTGTTTAACTGAACAGGCTGGCTGGCTGGACTTACTGCTGTCTCAATTCTGTTATGTGGCTGGGTATGCGTAAAGTGGGGAGGTTATCAGTCATCTTCATTGTTATTATTTTATTTTGAAATCACATGTAGCTCGTGACCTTAACATTTAAGGTCACGATTAAGGTCATAAAAAGAACAGAGTATCACATGTGAGAATTTTTCAAATTTCTCAAAGAGTGTAAACAAAGAAAAAACATTTGGATTCAGCTCCTACTTCAGGTGAAATGAAGCTTGGAAAGTAGATTTTTTACACAGTAATACATATTGCAGGGTTAAGTGAGGTGTGACACAGGTCAGTAGGCTTGGTCGACCTGATTTTAGTAGTGTTTCATGAGCAAAACTAAAGACTTACCTTGGGAGAAAAAAAATCAGCATTTGTTTGCCAGGCTGAAAAGTACACATCAGGCAGTAGGTGGCAGTACTGGCTCATAAATTCACTGAAGACAGGCTTGGTTATATGAATGTGGTACTGGAACTGGTACACACACATGCAAAGCATGAATGAACCGAGGACTGGTGTGAGATTTCTAGGGGTTTTTTTTTCAGTCTTGGAGCATGAATGTACTCTGACATCTTGTCCACAAGCTAAGGTCCTTGTGTTAAGCGCCGTCTTGTCTTCCAAGTGCTGACCAACCTTTCTCTCTGTCTCTCTGCTACTGCTCTGTCTACCTCTCCCTAGCCTCAGCGTGTGCGTGTGTGTATGTGCATAATAACTCTTCTTACTTCCTCTCAGGAGTAGGCATGGCCACCTAAACTCTAACGATACACCTGTCACTCGTTACCTTCATCACCCTCATCTACAGTACTTAAAACCAGCTCTGCTTATCATTCACTGCTAGACTGTTGTACTACACTGCTGCTAGCATTATTCTGGCTTTAATTAAAATTCCAGTCCTATTTAGCTTTGCCTGTACCTCACTGCCTTAGATTCATTCCTGAAGAGTCAGCTGATTGTTTTGGGAGGAAGCCAGCCCTGAGCCCATCTCCAAGGACTACCAGCAGGTGGAGTGAACATTTGGAGAGCAGAGTCTGGGGAGTGTTTCAGCATCAACCCTGGGAGTCAAGTTTTTTAGACATCTGGACATGGATTTTCTTTGGAGCTTCAGATTAATCAATCTGGGGGAGGTTTGATTTGTTAGTCTGTCTTAACTACTTTAGAAATCTCCTTTCTGATCTGGTTTGATACTCAGACTTGTGAATGAACAATCTGCAGGCAGATCATTGCAGATTTATCCAGTGGAAGAGACTAAACTTGATACTTGATAGAAATATTTTTGAATTTCATTCTGCATCATTCTGAGTTTTTCTGCTGGCAATGTTCACATTAAAATCTTTGAGCCCTTTCTTGAGTGTCCTTTTGGTAACAAAACACAACACCTTGTTTAATAAATTTAACTGTATTCTTAGAGTGGCAACATGAAAACATCACTTATGTATAATTGTTTTGGCTTTCCTCCTTTACCATTTTTTTCTGCTCAAAGATTTTTGCCATGTAAAGTACAGCCGTAGAGTCATTTAACATTCTTCGAGTTTATTTGTCTTAATGCACAGGTGACACAAAGTTTGCTAGAAGCATAATAAGCCACGCAAAGCACATCAATAGAAGCAAATCAGATGGGACCTATCATCACTCTTCTCTCCTCCTCATCCATCAAAGTTGCTGTATGTCTGAAGTCCAAGACTCAAGTGTTTGGAAAGGAAAAATACAAAAGCTGTCCAATTTTCTTCTGGTTCCCTGATTTCTCTGCTTTTCCTCCTCCTCTTTACCCAGTAAATAGGTTAGTAGCTCTCCTTGAGACATTTTTAGAGTTTGTCAGGACCACATTAGCAGTAACTCTCAAAGGATGATACTTCCAGGAAAACCATGGCCAGAATCCACACTCTAAATCTGTATATTATACCACCATGATAAGATATAGATAGATAGATAGATAGATGAAACTTTATTAATCCCTCGGGTAGGTTCCTCCGGGAAATTCAGTTGCATATTACAGATACAATAAGGGGAATGAGAGTAAGGAAATACACAATCTAACCCCGGGCCATTTTATATATACAAATTATACATAGGTGATTTCTCAGGATAAGGGATAGGGAAGTTGGGTTAACAATAACTAATTTCCACAGTGTATCGTTTTCCCACAATCTAACCTGTTCAATGACAATGTGGAGGTATATTTTTTTTAATATAAACGTTTTACTTGTTTTATGGAGTTCATTCTTCCAGCAGGGGGAGCCTGGAGGTAGACTTTCCCGTTTGTTGGAAACAAAGACCTGAGCCAATCAAAAATCGGTTCAAGGAATTAAATCCGGGCTCGTTGTGGCCATGGCAACGGATTTACCTTGGTGACAGCTGAGAAATAGAAATGGAAGAAGAGATGCGACATGGGCTGTAATGGTCCTGAGCAATACTCTCAGAATACTTCAGATCCACCCTCAGTGACCCCACTGCACCATGACAGGTTAATTTCTGCAGGGGGTGGACTTCCGAAGATCTGCAGTAAAACAAAGTAAACAAAGGCAGGAATATGGAAAGGGAAACCGCAACCTTCAGTAGTACCCTAATTCAGTAGAGCTCTGTGTATGAAAATAGAAGTAAATATAGACTGGTGCATTTAAGGAGATGATATTCAGAAGGTTACATGAAGATTTGATGTATTGGCTCAGAGGGTGATAGCAGAGACTGTTGCCTAATCTGAACATATCTATGAAAGCCCAGAGAGTCTGGAAAGAAGGAAAGGATAAAAGATACCAGGTTAAGGACGAAAATTAGAAAGTGATGAGAGCATGTGAACACCAACGAGGTTAAGGCCGTTCAAGAAAGGTTTTTTGTTGCAGCTTTTTATACAGTTTACTATTTGATATCATCCCATTTCAGCAATTAATTTGTCAGGAAAATGTGTGTTACTTGGGTTACAGTGAAACAAAATTGACCATTGTCCTCTTAACTATAATGATAATACTCAGAGACACCTCATTGGCAGCTGGACAAAGGCAGATATTCACATTCAGCAGCGTCTACATATATAAAGAATGTTTAAATTATTACACACACACATCTTTACCAAATTGTCAAGGCCACTTCTGTAGGTGTGGTCCTCTTGTGACTGTACAAATATGGTTCTGCCTTCTCTACCGCGTCTAATCCAAGAGCTGTATGTAATTGGCTGTGGTATTGGAATTTTTTATTTTAATTGGCCCTGTTGTCTGTCACTCTACGTCAAACGCTCTCTGCTCACTGTGTAACCACGCCTCCTCATGCTTTCCGGAGCCAGTGGTTCATTCGTGCGTGTAGAGCCGTGGATTGCCTCGCCGGGAGGGAGGAAACGTGTTTCGTTTAATTTTGCTGGGTTCTCGTGCTGTCATTAGCAGTGCTGCTACTACAGTAACGTTTTAAACAGTATTTTCGCGGGTACTTTGCGTTGTAATTAATAACGGCGGCGTGGCATAACGTTGCGAACAACTAGGTTAGGCTCTGTCACCTGGCTGCAGCAGCTGACTTGGTGTCTTGCGGAGAGTGGCGACAGTTCCCAAAAGAAAACAAGCAATTGCTAGTTAGCAATTCAGCCAGTTAGCCTGCTAGCTAGCTAGCTCTTGCCTTATTGCCACAGCAAGTCCCTCCCTCACAAAGTGCGTGGACGCTGTTGGCTGCGACGGTGAAGTCGAGTGTTTTTTTTTTCTTTCTTTCTTTTCCTTTTTTTTTAAACTCCCCTCCTATCAACTTAATAGCCAGCATCCCTATACAGTTGGTTTGCACGGGAAATACCCCCCACAAAGGTTAGATAGGTTAGGAGACGGTAACGTAAAATTGCTGGCTTTACGTTCGACAAGTGTGTTCTGTGGAGGGATACGGATCATACACTGGCAGAGAGACTGGCTAAAAGAAGACGCGAAATAAGAGCGAACAAGGAAGACACCAGGAAGGAGGGGACTGGCTAGTTTAGCCGGTGAGACTGAATCGCACGTAAGTGACTCATACTTCGCAGCAGTAAGTTAGCTTGACAAATGGCTTAACCTGTACAACTTGCACTGCTTGCGGCTATCCAGTCTTCTACTCTTCTGCGGCTTAGCACCTACAACCAGTACGCCATACTACAAATGTTAGCTAGCTGCACAGGCTTCCTTGAAGGTGGCTTAGTAGCTAGCACGACAGCTAATTGAATGGTTCGAAAGTGAAAATGTGCTTGAAACACATCTCGACTACGCTTTCTTCACTCGTTCCGTTTTAACTAAGGCTCAGTTAAATAGAGGAGTTTAGACAAGTTGGATGTGTGGCTTGAACAGCACCGTGTACCAGCTAGTTGTCATGAGTGGGAGCTTATTAGCCGCTTCGCTAGCTAATTCCTGCCGGCTACCCACTCAGATTGACAGCTCAGCTTCTGACGACACGAAACCTGAATATTAGTGAAACCCAGCTTTTATCGCCCCTTTACAAAACACAAGGCTCATATCTATTACGTGCAGCTGTGGGAACTGTGTGTTCCTGAGCTGAACCAAAGATAAACTTGTCAATGTCATGCAGAGTTCACATGACATTACACTATCTTGGTTATAAATGACTGTAGCTGTCAAACTACTCAGTTAATCAGTTTTCTCATTTGTATAGGTTTCATCAGTCACTTAGCATTCACAAGTCATGCACACGTTTATAGTAGTCTATAGTAAGCCACAGCTGTGTAAATCAGCAAATAGGCAACAGCACAGCCCTGCACTTAAACACAATTATGATTCTGTACCAAGATCAGTTGTGACAAATATTCTCTTCTCTTTTAGATAGTACATCAAGCCACACACAGCCATGAGTATTGAGATACCGGTTGGGTTGACAGAACTGCTGCAGGGCTACACTGTGGAGGTGCTCCGACAAAGGCCGTCAGACCTGGTGGATTTTGCCGTACAATACTTTACCCGTTTGCGGGACACCAGAAGTCAGGATGGGGCCAGCACAGGCGGCAAGACGGGAAAAGGAGTGATGTTTGACGGGGAGCCGATGCAAACAGAGTCCAATGGAGAGGATGATGAAGATGATGACTCCGACTTTGAACGTAGGTTGATCTTTTTGTTGTTGAGATTGTCAGCTGTTGTGGTGCAGGTGCTTGTGTGAGTGAAATGGGACACAATGAGTGATTGTTTGATTTTGTTAGGGAAAGAGCAAGTGAAGATGAGGCCCAAAGACTTGTCACTGATATGGTCAGAATTTATCCGTCTTTTTGGGAGATTCTTTAGCGTGTTACGTCTGCCATATTTTCATACATGCACTTGCTCTCAGAAAATCCCACTGAGCAGACAGCTTGGCAAAGCAGACATGATCTAATCTGGGTCTACTACATTCTCATCATCTGACTTTCAGGATCAGAAATAATTTATTATTTACATGTGTCTAAGGATCTGAAAGAGCCGTCTTTGTTAAATGTAGATTCAATCTGCTCTTTAACATATTCTTAAATTAAATGTATACTTCCAGAAAACTGAAGTAGCCCAAGATGCGAAAGGTAACAAGGTAAAGCTGTCCTGTAACGACATATAATGTTGTAATAACAAAATCGGCATGATGTTTTCCCAGAGCAGTGAATGTGTGTGTGTGTGTATATATATATATATATAACTCTAAATTGTACCTCAATAGTGATACTGGGCCTCTTTTGCATCAATCCCTTGTGTTTGGCACACTGGCATAAGATGTAAGCTGCTCCCAAACTCAGCTGTCCTCTGTGCTCCTGAGAGCAATGTGACCTAGATCACACCAGTATGTTCACTGGCATCATCTGTAAACTATCATGTATATATGTGAAACTATGTGGAGATAAAAACTGAAGCCCCTTTTTTGTTTGTAAATAGTAATTGGAACCCAAATGTTGCAACCTAGCTGGCTGCACAGCTTTTGTCAAATCACCAGCAGGTACCGGAGCACTAAAGTGAATTTTGGGCTTCATGAGATCTATTCTTTTTGGGCCTGTTGTTAGTATTCCTTTTTTTTGAGCTTCTATTCTAGTTTTGTGGTTTAACAATTATGCCAAATATACAGTTTTAAATATACAGTTTTAATCTCTCCTGAAAGCAATGTTGGCCAGCCTTGTAGATTGGTACAAGCTGGCTCATGGTGAACAGGGATTATGTTTTCTTTTTCTGCTAATACAAAATGGGTTCTGCCCGCTGTAAAACAGCTGTGACTTCAGCTGAGAGTTGTGTGTGTGTGTGTGTGTGTGTGTGTGTGCGTGTGTGCGTGTGTGCGTACGCTTTGGTGTACACGCGCCAGATGTATTTGAGTTTCAGTGAGTCCTTTTGCATACTTGTGAAAGTAAGCAGTTGTGTTATGGCATTCTTTCACAACCGTTCAAATTCCAGCCTGGTGACGACATAAAAAAATGTGTCCAAGTACACTGTGATTAGCAATCACACCTCATTCTAGGGGATAATAAAGGAAAGGGAGCTGCAACAGTTGTGCCCCAGGGAGAAATCTGGATTCTGGAGTTCACACACATGACTTCCATGACATTAGATTATCCAGTAGGCTTGTGTATACTTCCCCCCAGGGGAACATTAACATTATTTCTCATGGTAATAACACAGGCCTGCATAATGAAAGGTATCATGTGCTCTTGCCTGACCACTGCTGCAGCCTATAGGTATAAAGAGTGATCTAATTCAGTTAGTTCACTAGCACGTGCTCTAAGACAGTTGCTTGAGTACTGAAGACACCAAATTAGCATTTTTAATCCACAAACCAAGAACGTCATTACTTATTTTTCTAGGTGAGAAATACAAACCTGGTTCTGTTAGCTATAAAGGGGACATTCTGCATAACTATCAGCACAGTCTGCAAACTATGCTGGTAAAATACAAATGTCATACTTCTACTTACTTGAATTATGATTGGTTATTTGGGGCATTTTATTGAATTTGGTGCTTGCTGCATGTCCTCTCTTGCATGCCTTCTGCTCAAGACTAGGAGTAATTTTTCTCACATTTAGAGCACAAGTGATTAAACTGTATTACTGCTGAGTTGGCAGGTAAGGTATTTTGAGTTGCTATCCTCTTTATAAAGTATGGCTGTTGTGAAATTAGTATTGAGCTGAAATAGTATTGAGCTGTGCAGTCTAATATAAATATTGTTTAGCTGGCCCTGAATTCAAGAAAAAATTGAAAGAAGTTCAAGGTGCTTTTCCAGTTGTGTTGTTTTGGTTGATTTTTTTTCATGAATCTGTGGTATCTGGATATTCTTTAGACGTTAATTCTATTGTTTTAATAAGCTACTTACATTTACGATGACTCACCAGTGTGCTCTTAACCTTTCTTTTGCTCTGAAGGAAATCATTGAGTGTGTTGGCTAAAGGCCTAACATGTAAATGAACTAGATAGCTGCTTGTGTATTTCCATGGATGGTACACCGTATCCCTAAAAACAGGACGTCTTGCGGTAATTTACTTGTCTTGTTTCTGTAACTCCTGCTGCCTGAATCCACTTAGGGCTCACCACACAGGTCTAAGCTGGTTAACAATAGAGGATTTAGTTATACATCCATCATATTTTGGTGATATTCAGGTTTTTAAGTAACCCTATTTATATTGAGGCTGAACTTTTAAGAAGTCATTTATTGACAATTTTATAATCTTCTTTCTTTTTGCTGAATGGGTGACATGGACACCAAACTGGGTTTCTGGTAGTGAATTTAAGATTTGTATTTGGCAGGAGTAAAATTCACTTCTGTGAATATTAGGATTGCATCATACTTACCTTTAATGGTTAGTAGCTGAATCCAGAACAAATGCGTCCATTTTACTCAATTTTCAGAAATACAGTGATAATGAGAAAAAGGGTGCAACACAATGGCATCTTTCTAATTTGTATATGTGGTTTTCCTCTCCTTGCCTCCTCTACTGTCAGTTTAGCAGTGCTTGTTCACTAAGAGAAACAGGAGGGGATGAATGGATGCCTCTGACTGAAACGAGCAGGGCTTTTTAGTCAAAGATGGATGGAGGGACAGATGACTCCTAGAGATGATAATAGAAACTAATTAAAAGTGTTTTTATAAGAAAGACAGCAGGGATAAAGCAGAGGCTGTATTAAAAAAATAATTGAGGGAGGAGAAGAGAATGGGTTTATGTAATTATTCTAAGCTGCACAAAACTTTGTAGAAATGCTTTGTAGCTAGATGGTTGTGCTGCATGGATTCATAACAGAATGCTAGCTTAGATTTTTCTCTTCAGAGTGCAGATTTTCCATAGATTAATAGGTCTTAGCCAGTTTGTCTAGTAATGATTTAACTGTAACACTTTAAAGTTTTTTTTCTTTCCTTAAAAGCATCGGTCCATATTTTCAAAATTCTACCTCCGTGTGTTGTTTTGATTATTTATAAGCACTGGTATTTTGAAAACAGATATCTTGAGAGGAGTCATAACGTCATCAGTGTTTCCTTTTCATCGCAGCAGCTCTCTTGCAACAGTAAGTGCAAATTTTCCCAGATGGTTGGTATCCATTTCGGACTGCAAATCTTCTGTTGCTGTTAAACACACCATTAGATTAAGAGATAAGGTCTGTTAGATTTTTTTTTAATGATACATAGACATCTTTCTAAGAAAGGTGTCCACCAGCCTTTAAATGTCATCAAAATGAAACGCATTAAATAACAGGATTGAGGGCCTTACAAAAATTTAATAAAGTGCAATAAAAGGTTTCCAGATCTCAAACTCATTTGCTGTTTTATTTAGGTGCAAATTAAACGTGACAGTGTGTCATCAGGTTTGTTTTGATGTGATTAAACCTAGAGTAAATGTTTTGAGTTAAAGTGTGTTTGCCCTGTTAAGAGTAAATACTGTTAGAAATTGATGTATTTAAGTTCTTCTACCAAAGAAAATGTACAGGAAACATTTAAGCTCTATGGTTGAAACACCAGTAATTGGAAAAAAATATATTTTTGAGTTTGTGTTGCAAGTGTCAAGTGTTTTAGTTTCTGTCATATCTGTCCAACATGATAGAAAAACACTGTCATGCACTTGTAGATTTGCATTGAAGATGTGGTTGTGTTCTAGTTTTGCATGGCCACAAGAGTCCCCCAGTCCCAGAATTCATCATCTGGCCAAATCCGAAAGCTTCATCAGAGCTCAAAATTTATCAGTCCGAGTTTGGCATATGAGCTGACAAATGTGTGGATGTGTTTGTCAATGCAGACCACAGTTTGTTTCTGTGTGGAATAGATAAAATGTGTTTCTTGCATGTTTGGTTTGTGTCAAAGGCTCTGCGTAATTTAGCTCAGAGTATGGCCGCACACAATGTGATGAAATTCTGCCTGTGACCTCTTTCTGTCTCCACCCTTGCTCTGTCACCACCACCTCAGTGTTGTTTACACCCTGCTCCCCCCAGTCTCTTCCTTTGCTCCCATAGTGTTCTCCCTTTCTCCCTCTATGGCCCTCTTTTTTTCCCTCCACATTTTTCCTGTCTCTTAAGCAGTTTGATTTGGCTTTTTTTTTTTTTTTTTTTTTAGTAGATAAAATTAACTCATAACATGATTGTCAGAACAAACTGTTTCTAAAAGAGAAAACAGAGAGACTCCTATAGTTTTCTTTGATGTAAATTGTGATTCTGCTACTGTTTTCATTTTTTTCTATCCCTCTTTAATTCATACATTTGCTACTGGACCATTTTCCCCCCTTAATATTGCTTTGTGCTTTAGTTTCACTTATTTGGGATGAAAGTACAGACTGCTTTGTCTCTAAAGACACTAATAATTGGTTCAGTAAGACGAGCTGAGATGTCAGTTTTCATTTTCGTCTAGGAGCTTTGTGTCTGTGCACAGTGGTAACGGTGATTAGTGGAAGAGGGAGTACATGTACACTCAAATGACTTTTGTCACTGTAAGTGTGCACAATTTTATATCTGTAGGTTTGCGTGCTTGTGACTAGTCTCAGTTTAGTGTTGTGCAACAGGTGACCTGATTAGTAGACAGCAGTGTATGTCCAGGGTGCTTTTAGCCTGCAGGCAAATCTCATCCAGCCTACTATGGAGACCAGTTGGACTGGCAGTCTGATGGTGTTAAGTGGAAAAGCCC